CCCTGAAAGCAGGAGCAATCTTCCCCTTCCCCCGCATCTTCCAAGGCCAACTTTTTCCTATAGCACCAACACCTCTTAACAAATTTGATATCTATTTGCTGACTGTCTGTTTCCCCCAACAAAAATGCCAGCCCTGAAAGAAGGAATGCTATTTTATTCACTGCTGTGCCCTCAGAGCCTAGAACAGTGCCCGGCTCACAGCAGAATCTCCACACATATTTGTTAAAATGAAGAGCTACCAAAGGGGGCAACATTTCAGACAAAGCAATTTCAGGACGGTCCCCAACACTGGGAAGACCGTAAAACTATGAATTGCTAGGCAAACAAGCAGCATCTTACATGATCTGATCTTGTTTCTTTAGCATGAGAGCCTAGGACCCTTAAGAAAGAGACTTGATATGCTGTTAGACCTTAGCCTCAAGAAGAGAAAAGGTTGGAGAGTAAAATGAGTGAGACCCTGTATTTGTGCCAATAGTTCCTTTAGAAAGCATGCATGGAACCTTATCTAAGCACACAGCCACTGTAAATCCTGAGAGTAGATGAGCCTATACATTATAAATAAATGGGTCTTAAGCACACCATTCTCTGTTCCACAGTGGTGTTCCTCTTGGCAGCCACCTTGACTACAGTTCATTGACAGTATGCAGACTCAGAGCCAAGCACTGAAAGCAGCACTTTCTTTGACAGCTGCTCTCCTAATGGGGCATCTCTCTCAAAGACAGGCGTTATTCTGCAACGCCTACGTTGTCCAAATTTTATTCTGCACACTAATTGCAGATTCCAAATAAATTCCTCCTTCCCACCACCCTTGGTTACTCATACCTGCCCCCTCTCCCTCCAACATGTCTAAACCCTGGGGATGTAGAGGGAAAAAAAAAATCCAACTCTCCCTGTACTGAGTGTCTCCTGTCACCCCTTCAGGGAGCAAGATTCCAGACTAAATATCCTAAAGGCCTAGAAAATGGGCCCCTTCCCCCCAACACCATTCCACCAAAACTGGCCAAGCGCAAGATAATGAGCAACCGCGGATCCTCACCCAAACATTGGCTTTCCTTCCAGGCGTGCAGATTGAGAATCCCGAGACGCCGTCCTGTTTGTAACACTGAGTCACGTCGCCGCTCAACGTCTGTTTCCTCCTCCCCATGAATGAGGCGACCCCCTCCTCAAAGGAGTAAGTGCCTGGCACGGTCCAAGCCCCAAGGT